TTATATTAATTTGAAAAGCTCACTGCCAAAGAATCAAGAAACGAATTGGATTCGTACTCAAAAGCGGGAGAAGTCGTTCAGGAAGTGTTCAGTTCTCTTCGTACTGTGCTTTCACTTAATGGCCAAAAATTTGAAGAAAAACGGTAGGGAATATGTATACTTATAAGCGAACTTTGTAAGCCATGACCTATGGCCATGTTCGAATTTTATTGTGTATTTAGATACGAAAGCAAACTACAGGCAACTCGTTGGACCAGTGTGCGCAAGGGTGCCGCATTTGGTTTCTTCGCTGGATGGTTGTCTCTTATAGGATACATCATTTATTCAGTTGGTTTCGCCTTCGGCTTACTTCTCATGCATCATACAGAACGTGACATACCTAATTTCAGTAATGTTTTTGTGGTAAATTATTCAGTTCATAGATTAGATTTCCACAACCAATAGGTCCTCAATATTTGAGTAGGTAGTGATTATTTTGGCAAGAATTGCCAGTAATCTGGCTTCCAATAGTCCTTTCTTTCAAACATTGGAAGAAACTCGAGGTACTTTAGCGCCCATATTCCGATTAATCGATGAAGTAAAGTATTGTTAAATATACGATCTCGTCTCTTTTCCATTGTATCATATAGGAAGAGAAGACAAGTATGAATGAGACACAAATATCGGAAGATTCTCTTGATTGCGAAGAAGTTATAAATATGAATGGTGATATTCAATTTGACAATATCGACTTTGCTTATCCAACTCGACCTGATGTGTTCGTCTTACGAAATCTCACATTGACGGCTCGTGCAGGTGAGATAACAGCTTTAGTCGGTTCAAATGGCTCTGGTGAGTATTTCGAGAAAAAAAAACAATTCAAAGATTGGTAATCTATCTTTTGTTAAACAAATAGGCAAGAGCACATGCATTTCACTTTTACTTCGTTTTTATGATCCATCATCTGGTCAAATTACAATTAATGATCGATCCATAGCAGATTACAATTTGAGACAACTGCGACAAAAGATTGGTGTAGCCAGCCAAGAACCTGTATATTAGTCTCTGTGTCTTATGACTTTTGCACTTAATATTATTTTATGTAGATTCTATTTGCTACAAGTATCTATGAAAATATTCGCTTTGGTAAAGAAAATGCAACAAGAATCGAGATCGAAGAAGCAGCACGTCAAGCTAATGCACACGATTTCATTATGCAATTACCGAATGTTAAAATCGAATGCTCTTTTCTTATAACGTGCTCTGTATTTTGTGATTTTGTAGAAATATGATACAATCGTCGGAGAAAATGGTGTTCAATTGAGTGGTGGTGAAAAACAACGTGTGGCTTTGGCTCGTGCTCTTGTAAAGCAGCCAGTCTTGCTCTTGTTGGACGAAGCAACAAGTGCTCTCGATAATCGCAGCGAAAAGATCGTCCAAGAAGCACTCGATCGTGCTTGCAACGGTTCGCGCCTATCTTTCTGTTTCAATAATACCATCTATAGATACACATAGGTCGAACTACGATTATGATCGCTCACCGTCTGACAACAATTCAAAATGCACACTGCATTTATGTGTTGGATAATGGACGTGTCATCGAACAAGGTTCACACGAAACACTGATGTCAAAAGAAGAAAGTCGATATCGTGAGATGATGAAAGCTCAACAGAGAGAAAAAAAGGAAAATGATATCGATGAAACAACGAGTCCCACACAAATAGAAGAAGATGATCAAAAACAAATATGTACATAAATACTTTGAATAAAAGAATACTTTTCAAGAGATCATTTTTGTCAATTAGCGAAATGTGCTTGGCATCGTAGCTGTAATGAGCTTGACGATGGAGACAAAGTAAAGAACTTGAATATACTTATGTCGAGATGGGTTTTTACATTTACAACATACTTTTAATAGGTGTCATCGACTACAAATGGTCTACCTGTCTTCTTGCGACTTCTGTTTTTGAACAGTCCAGAATGGATCCTCATTCTGATTGGCTGCGTGGCTTGTGTCCTTTGTGGAGCAGGTCAATCAATTCAGGCCATTCTACTCACAAATACAATTTCTGTAAGTCATTTTATCGTACAACATGATCAATATTGCCGTAACTGGTTGTTCACAGGCATTTGGAGCATGTACCTACGAAGAACAACGTCGTCAAGTTTTTAAATATTCCCTTCTTGTCTTCTTAATGGGTGTTGCGTTTTTGGTCACTCGTTTTATACAAGTAAGAAAATACCTCATACAGCATTTTATATTTTCTACATCAATAGTACACTGCATTTGCTATATCTGGCTCAAAATTGACCGAGCGTATTCGTGCTAAAGCTTTTGCACACCTTCTGCGTCAAGAAGTGGCTTTCTTTGATCGTCTTGAAAATAGTTCCGGAGCTATTTGTAATCGTCTCTCATCTGATGCATTGGCTATTCAGCAGATAACTGGGGCTCGTCTAGGCATTGTTTGTGAATCAATCGCAATGTTTGGAATTGGTGTTGTTCTCGGAGTCTTGATGAATTGGCAATTGACTTTAGTTGCACTCTTCTATTTTGTCTCTTTATTTATTCTTGCTATCGTGCAAATACGTTGGCAAGCACGATTGAACAAACGTTCTGATGATATTCTTGAATTAGCAAGTTCGGTAAGACCAACATGTCGATTACAATATCATGTGCACTGAAATATTGATAGTGAATCTTCTTTTACTAATAGCTCGTTGTCGAAATCATTCACAATATGCGTACAGTGAAGCAGTTGGCAAGCGAGGCAGAATTCTTACGTCAATTCTCACATTTAGTTCTCAAAGAATTCAAGTAGATCTTTCAATTGCTTTTTTTTCTTAATCTCTATGAATTATTTTTGCATAGAATGGGTCGAAATGATATAATAATATCCTCGTTACTACATAGTATCCATTGGGGAATAGGATCATTCATCTTGTTGTCTCTCTGTTGGCAGACTCTTATCCTTGTTGAAAACAAAGAGCTGAAGATGAACAATATCTCTATGTACAAAAATTGAAACCTTTAAGATCTATTTTATCTACGTATATGTTTTTCTAGCGTGTTTGCCTATTATATGTTCTCCGTAGAAGCTCGACGATTCATCGTGATCTTGTAAGTCATTGCGCAGATTGATTGCTTTTCTTCAAGTGTTCTTATTCAGAATGCGACAAATAAGTGACTCATTGTCAGCAGCTCGAAGTTTCTTCAATTTGTTCGATCGAATACCAGCCATCGACAATTGTTCCATGAATGGTCAACAATTGGTGAGTCATTCATTTAGGAAAAGCCCGAGTTTTGAACAGATTATTCTTATCTCATTTTGAAAATGTATTGATGATAGGATGATTTCAAAGGTGAAATTGAATTTGATCAAGTCGATTTTGCGTATGCATCTCGACCAGCAACCTTTATTTTGAAAAAATTTCAATTGATCATCAAACCTGGTGAGTTTATCTTGTATATTTTCAGTTTAGTTTATGATGATATCTATCTATTTGTCAAATAGGTCAGCGTGTGGCCCTTATAGGTATGTCGAAGTCTGCTGGATACTCCTACACTTCCTTCCTTTACAACTCGTTTCCTTACGTTTCGTCCCATTGACATTTCGTCCTAAAGCGTGATGATTCATTTTAATTATAGAAATATGATATAAAACTCATTTTCATAAGCTCAAGTGCTTATTTTCAAATTCATAACAATTAGAATTAAATATTCTTCAATATTGTTGACGTCACAACATAGTACTATTCTTTTTAATCGTCCATCACGATTTTCATAAACTTTTTTCTTTCTCTTTTGGCTGTTCCCCAGGACAAAGTCGTTCAATATCGATCTTGAATCTAGATTGTTGATGTAAAATATATTTAGCAAGTTTAGTAACTGAAGGATGTTTGATTGATACACGATCGTTGAATGCGTGGTACCATCATTCTATAGCTTTTTTGGATCGTGGCAAATCTTAAATAATCTGCTCAGAAGTATTCCATAACTGCAAACTAAATACTGGTTTACCACGCCGACTATCTAACTTAACTTTAAGTAGAATCAATTACATGCAACAGATATATAAATTAGCATAAACCTCTTCCTTTTTTGTCCTATCCAAGCTCTTTGGAAATAATTTAGTAGATGACAATCTTTAGTATCAAAATCATTGATGATCAGTGAACAGCTTTTTGACAAAATCATTAACAGGCACAAATGCAAGACCTATAAGTTATTTCACGTTCATTCTAAATTTACCATCATCAATACATTTGTTTGAAGATTTATTGATTTCACTATACACAACACTCTGTATATAAATAATAACTATTTTTGAATAACTAAATAGATTGATCCTAGTAAAACCATGAGATTAAATTTAGTTGGGATAAAATGTAATGGGACGAATTGTAATGGAACGAAATGAGCGGTCACCGTCAGTTGTTGTTTGTTCAAAGTACTTATATAATCTATTTACAAAGGTGCATCTGGTTGTGGCAAATCGACAGTCATTCAACTCTTGGAACGATTCTACGATCCCATAAAAGGTCGAATCGTAAGTATCTCTCTTTTGTTCTATTAACACATTCGTGTAAACACTCACCTAGCGTAATCTAGCGTTTTGATGGCATCGACATTCAACAACTGAATATTCAATGGCTCCGCTCATGCATTGGTCTTGTTAGTCAAGAACCTGTCTTATTCAATTTGACTATTGCTCAAAACATAGCATATGGTATAGAAAACACTTCGATTGAAGATATTATCGATGCAGCTACCAAAGCCAACATTCATGATTTCATTCAGCAGTTACCTCAAGTGAGTAAAGAATAACACATGATGTTTGATTTGATTGTGTCTTTCGTGACGTTACAACAGGGTTATGAAACCAAAGTGGGGATAAAAGGTGGCCACTTATCAGGTGGTGAGAAACAGCGTATTGCAATTGCTCGAGCTCTTCTTCGTCGATCAAAAGTATTGCTGCTAGATGAAGCAACAAGTGCCATAGATTCGTACAATGAACAAGTTCGTTTTCTTACGGTATTCGTTAATAAAATAGTCATTTTCGATATGTTTAGATGGTGCAAGAAGTTCTTGAAAGAGCGCAAACAGATAATCCAACTCGAACTTCACTGATCATTGCTCATCGTCTGTCAACCATTCGCTCGTGTGATTTGATCTGCGTTCTTGATAAAGGATACTTGGTAGAAAGTGGTACTCATGCAGACTTAATCAAACAACGTGGAGCCTACTATCACATGACTGTTCACAGCAATGGTTCATAGATTGTCTCTGTCTTTATTTTAACGAAACTGACTAGCAATTAAAATTTTTTGGCACGAATTTCTTTTTTATTGATTTTCTTTTCTTATCAACTTAGTAAAAATATTGACAAATTTAAGCCGTTTTTCTAATTGAACTCATCATTAATGTAATCGACAAGGCAGAGAACAAGTCTCTTTCATTTTTCTCCATCAATGGACTCTGTGCTAAACTTACAGATTTGATTCAAACAGGAAAACAAATTAATCAGAAGGACGAAGAAGAAAAAAATATCGATGTGTAGCTACCGCTAGACAACCCTTAACCATGATCCGTGGTGGCGATTCGATTGAACATCTTGTGACAGTCAATAAACAAGTTCAATAAACGACGCATATTGATGAACAGAACAACATGGGTTTCTCACTTTTGTATAAACTAAAATATTTGTTACTAATTTTCAACGCAACGATCGAACACAGAAACGTCACACATATCAGCCACGGAGAATCACTTCCTGAAAAAAATCTCTATGGCAGCAAATATCAAGAGAACAAACTAATAATTCTATTTGCAACAAAACCAAACCTATGTTGCAATCATTTCTGAACGCTTTGCTCTTTGCGGTAGCATGAATTATAGTTCAAAAGTGTAGATTAGGAGGAACATAATACGCACATCCGTCTATAGACTGATAATAGTTCTACTATCCTTCAAAATCTCGCTCTCGTATCTCTCTTTTGTCGCAAGATATAAAATGTGAAAGTTGTCTACAAAAGCAATTTGTTCCTCCATTGATAAAACCTATAGAACACAAATGGCTTAATCTTTTGAAAAAATATTCTTTTAGAACTAGGAGTTATCTTGATGTGCATCTGCGAAACATTTCAGTTCTATTGATCTCGACATTCACGAAGTACATGCTGTGAAAAATTGTTTTTTTTTTTCAAAATGTAATTATATTTAGGATATTTCATTACGAAATCATTAAAAACTGATGTTTTGATATATTTTTACAAATACTTGTACTAAAAGTCATAAAACTTTTCTCTCAATCACGTATAATAACTTTAGCAAATTCGAAAAGAGGTTGGCGGGAATGTCGAAATGAAAAAATCAGAGGCAAAAAATATCGACAAGAAAAATTCTGAAGAGGAAAACACCGAATATGTTCAAAGATATAAGTACGGAAGTTCAATTTTTTTTGTTTTTATTTGTCACTTTTCGACCAGCACATCTCATTTTCCATTCAATAAAGAAAGCCTCATAACATTAAATAGATATATCGTTAAAATGACATTAAACTTCAGTTCTAAAAATAGTTTATTTAAAACTCAGCAACTTGAGATATCATTCACCGCATCGAACAAATAATACTTCAGAAGGTGAGAACATTGTTATTCTTCATCTTTTTCATTCCAAAGCTCTGCCCTACCTTATTTATATTTTAATTTATATGTTTCGGTTAGCAAATCGATCGTCAGCATGACATCCGAATATTTGGAGTTTCAAACCGTTGATACAAAGTGAACATATTCGTTTTGAACATACTACAAGTGAACTTAAAGCTGGTACATCTGCGCTGAAACAATCGACAAAACAAAAGCATTTCAAACAGACTTTGATACTTTATATGACAGACTTCTCAAAAAATCACATCAACGCAAAGGAAGTGTTGCCGGGTTTATCATTGTTAATTGCGAAGAAAAAAAAACACCTTATTATCGGGTGCGCCAGGATAAATGGACCTCTCAGTATTTTAGCAATATCTTCTTCAATTTTCATCCGATCGGGTTGATCTTTTTTTAAAAATCTCTCCGTCTCGAGAGCTACAAAAACTATTATTTTTATTAACGTTAATAATTTCCGTCATTCTGAGAAAGACGGTACA